GAGAGAGAGAGAGAGACAAGGGAGGGAGATTTATTTTCACCCGCAAGTGTGAAACATAAACGTGTGTCATCCGATTCATTATCGCGCGAGTAAAATCGGAGGCTACGCCGATTGGGGAATCGTACGACACATTTTATCGCTGCCAGACGAGAAAAAACATGATTCCTGATATCTTCCCGCCCAGAGAACGCTCGAAGGCTCAAGGCTCACAGTTATGGCATCGCATATACAAGGAGAGCAAAATAGATGAAAAAAATCCACCGAGAGACAAAACATAAACACCCCAATAATCTCTCAATCTAACGTTTCACTTTGAACGTGAACTAAAATTTTACTCTTATTTTGATCTTTGCTTTTTGGGCTTTTTAGGCTCTACAAGATTGTGATAGAAGTTTATTTCTTATGAACAAGCCTCTACTTCCTACTTCCTGCCTTCTGAAATAAACAATTTTCTACTTTGACATTCAAAAAGAAGAATTTTCGGCTATCTTCAATAGAATTTTGTGACTTTAAATATGAATATTGAATGATATTGTAGGTAAATAAAAGATCTATTTTAATAGAGATCAATTTTAGATTAGATTAGATATAATTAGAGATCTATTTATATCTATGTAAAAAAAAATTTCAAAACTTTTTCGAAATTTATAGAATATAAATTTCAACTCTGGAAAATGTTATGTATCCCAATGTTATGCATTTTGTATTGAAAAACTTCCATTACCGGCAATATGAAATTCTCTTCAGCAATAATAATAATCGCAATAATAATTTCGAGTGTATGATCATGTAATAAGCAAAAAAAAAAAAATGGCAAAAGAAAAAACGGCTATGTAATTATATCTTAATTCTTATTACGATGTAATCGTGTAATTATGTAGACGCCATAATGATATGTGTTAATTCTTATTACGATGTAATCGTGTAATTATGTAGACGCCATAATGATATGTGTCGTAATAACAGTATGAAAAACCGCCGATCTAATTTTACATAAACAGAAATGTTTCGTCTGTCATTTATGAAATCATGCACTGGACACGTGAGAGAATAATGCCAAAAGGGCAAAATTCCATGGAGAGATTCTGAAAGTGTCGCCGAGTCAAGAGAGTTTTGATGTCAATAAAAGTTATCTAATTAATACACTGCGATTCTTCTAAGATCTGAAAAGGAGTCACAGCAAGTGCAAAATGAAACTTGGCATAATATATAGATAATAAGACTTACATAAATCAAATGAATTTGATGACTTTGCATATTAGAAGAATTCTAAGAAACGTATCTTTTCAATGTTTTTAACTTTATCGATTCTTATATATTACGATAGACGCCTCGATAATAAACCAAAGCAAAGAGATAAATAAAATAAAATCAACAAGGAAGAATTAATATACGTTCGGAATAGCTGAATGTATGACTTGCTTCTGAAGGTATTCTCTCTCACAAGACATCTTCACATAATCGCAGATGTGCGAAAATCGTAATTTGTAGTTCCTAGTTTTTATATTTGTACAATACATAATTATTATATAAAAAAATATTTATTATATAATCTATAAGTATTTCAACGTTTCAGACTATTTTAATGATGATTAATGATGAATATCAAATTTTATTAGTACTACAGTAGTTTATCGTAAATTTTTTTACATATTCACACAAAAAATTTGGCACATAAGTAAAAATAATTATTTAATTATAAGATAATATTTGGATAAAATAAATTGGATATAATTATGTGCGCGTATGTTTATGTATATATTTTTAAAAATGTTTCGTTTTTTCACTCTCAAATCTCGTTCCTTTTCCTCGCTAGTTCTAGTCGCAGGTAAAAAAGTACCCTCCACTTCTCTTGTACTACCTCCTTCTAATAAAAGCCTCGTCGGCAAAAATTACCGTGCAGATAACTGCATATATATATGTATATACATAAGTATATGTACACATCTCCTTTTTCCGACGCGTGCTAATTGCCCGACCCGATTGATGACATCAAACGCATTATCCGCATTTTCCATAAAGTATTGTTATGTTATGACTAGCGAACTGGCCTCTTCACCCGCGTCACCCCCAGAATTCTATCTTACGTTGTCCTTAACGGCGCGCCGTTACGTCGTTACGATGATAAGCGAGTTCGCTCTTATCTAGTCGCGTGTACGCGATTACGCAAGGATAGCTCGGAGATCTTGACCGCATCGAGCTCCTAATAACGGGGAGTTTATCCGTAAACGTGCGCGCCGATTCGCACGCGCGTGTATATAACGAGAAACGGCAAGATAGATCGTCACGATAACGCGGTGGCAGCGGATTGGTTGGATCGAATCAATTGGAAATGTTGTAACGCCGTTGGTCGTTGCGATAAGGGGGATCCGCGGGGGGAGTGGCCAATAATAATAAGCTCGTCGCGAGGATTTATGAGAGGCCACATAGATCCGCGATTTTTAACGATATGCCGATATGCTTTCTACAAACTCGTCAAAATATCCTCGCGAGATATCTTCCCCCTTTAGAGTTAGAGGGGGGGGCGTTACGAATGGAATCCATACGCTGCAATTTCTTCACTGGTCTTCCTGCAAGATCGTCAAAAACTGCCAACTTATTTTCCCGGAGCGCGAAAATAATCGCTAGTGACATAGACATCGACTGTGCACTCTTGCAACACTTCCTGTATTCTCTTTCGTCGTATCTTCTTCTTAGAAAAAATAAATTAGAACTGATTAGCTTCAAAAAGTATGTCCGAGCAGCAAATCGTATTCTTAGCACACATAAAATGTTGTATTCACGTTTTCTCTCTTGGATTTTTTGAGTATAATCTAAATTATTGCAGAAACCAGACGATAAGAATTAATTAAAGTTTCAAAGCAGTTTGAAGTAAGCTCAAAGGTGGGTCGTCTGGCCTCGTCCCGATAGAAGATTGTTGGCGACATAAACTTCGATATTTTTGTCACTCTATTTTTTGTACCAATAAACATTATAAATTAATGATTTCTTCAACGCGTTACTTCAGAAAAGTTATCTGTGTAATTTACGATCGATCACTACACTTCCATGATGTCACGGGAGGTGACAAGAAGTAAATTACAAAGGATGATGAAACATCGGGATAGATTTAATTATTCTATGTAAATATACATTTGTAACAAGTGACATTTGTGACTCGTCGAGCTTTGCGAACTTGCTTTTCCAGTGGCATCTGTCCTTTTTCCCCCCTCTGCCCTTAATGTTAGCCCGACTATAAAAAATTAAAACAAATTGTGTTCTTGTAATTATCTAGGCTGGAGCTACCGTGTTTCCTGGACACGGCTCTATAGCCAGAGTTTTCGAACGGACGATTGCGTCGTCTTCCATGGCGTATATTGATTTCGATTCCTGCTTCTCCTGCTCACTTTGCCATTGTACCTATAAAAAGACATGAGAAATTTCTCGTAGACTTTATAAAATCATACAAATAATTGAGAAAGAATATCGTTTGATTGATTATTATTCGTTTTTTATAAATTTTCCGGCGTTCTCAATATTATAAACGTTTTAAAGTACCTTCTGTTTGTGCTGCTTGATCGCCTCGAGACACCTGTCCATGACCATCTTTTCCGTTAATACACCGTCTTCCGAGGCGTAGGCCGCCGCTTGCCAAGTGACTCCAAGTTTCGCCAATTCTCGACCAGACATTCCCTCCGTCAAATCAGCCATCTTGGAGCACAACGAGCTATAATCGAATTGTGCGATCTTCAATCTCTTGTTTCCTTCGATCGCCGGTTGGAGGACAAATTTGTCAAAGTAAAGGCGAACCAAACGTTCGCGCTCTTCACGGCCTGGAAGACGGAACTCCACCATCTCATCTAATCGATCGTTCACCGCCCAGTCAAACTGCTCTGGCGTGTTAGACGCGAGCACCAACATGAATTTGTTGCTCTGCTCACCGGTCCTGTACAGGAACGCATTCAACATCGCCCGAAGATCCTCCGAGATACGTTCGCTCGAACGCTTCCTCAAAAACGCGTCCGCTTCATCGATGAACAACAACAGTCCCTTGCGGGACGTCAACGCCCAATCGAACACCTTGTGAATGGCAGTGACACCGTCTCTGCCCAACGGGGCCAGATCTCCACCCGTCACGATCGCATAGTCCATACCCGAATGCTCCGCTAGCTTTTTCGCAAACATAGTTTTGCCGGTACCCGGTGGACCATGCATCAATATGTTCCTGTACATGCCGCGATTATACTTCGTGTTCTTCGTGGCAATCGCGATGTCGCGCAATCTCTCTTCGAGTTTTGGTGCCAGGATCACGCCGGACAACGCGTCAGTTTGTTTGCTCTTCAGCTTCTTCACTGCTTGGATGGGATGCTGAATAGTATCCAGAAACGTAAATCTCGAGGTTTCACGCACCAACGATGGTTTTCCTAAACGAGACTCAATATAACGCGTTGCCATGCTAGTTGAGCCCTTGGCAGTGTATATTCCGAAGGCAACGAGAGACAAACCACCTGCCGCTGCGAGGATCTTATCCCAATCCTCCAACAAGGCTTTGGCACCCGAGCCTAATACTGAGCCAGCTGTTCTGAAAAATATAATAATTATGAAATTAAGTTTATAATTAAAATAAAACGTGTATATATATATATATATATATATAATAAATAACAAAGAATAGTA